TTTTTCACTGACCCCTAACCCTGACCCTCAGGCCAGAAGGAGAGGAAGCACATGGTGTACATGTCTCCTCTGATACGTCACCTCAACCAGAGGGGCCAGGAGTTGTTTGGTGAGGTGGAGGAGGTTCCTCCGACCTCCTGTTCCTACTGGGCTCAAGCGCATTGGTTTGGAGTTTCTGTTTGCCAAGTCGTCTGAATCTTTCAGGGCTACTGAACATTACACTCAGACCAGAGAGACACTTCAAGCAGCCGAGGATGAAACAATGATGTGGCTGCTGACGCAGAAGAATCCCTGGAGGGTGATGTGGGCTACAACACTGACAGCGAGAGTGACAACCCGACTCCGCTGAGGAAGAATCTGAATCTCACTGACCAGGTTGTGGCTCCTGAGCTCGATCCCTGTGTAGAGGATGTGTGCGGTCCAAATCATCTCCCTGGCTACCAGCACATGGAGGAGCTCAGTAGCCTTCTTATTGAGATTGCCCTGGAGGAGGGAAAGCTTGCGCTCAGTGACTCTACAAGACAGAGAGTCATCAGCGCCTGGAATAACCTTGCTTTGCGGTCCCTTTGCTCACAGGAGCTTCCCTGAATTTCTTAAATAAAGCTTCCCAGCTCCCCTAATCATGGGTGCCTCCCAGCTGAACAGGATCCCTGGCCGGCACCGGCAACAGAGCTTCCAGATGAGAGACCACATACCAGTTGTCTTCAGGTGCAGTATGAGGTCACTCCATCTTTGGCAGGGACCAGACAACTAAAACAGAGACTCAACCTCTTCGCTGGTGCACCCTGCCCCCCCACCCATTATTCAAACATAATTTGTGGAACTGTCAGAGTGCTCCTATATGGCCAATTTTCCCTAAAATTATTTAGGTGCAGAGTTTTAGGTGCTGCTCTGCTGAAGAGTACATAAGATAAAATGAGCTCCTTGACCCTTAGTACTATCATTAAATACATACATATCAAGACAACATTCTAATGTTAATGCTCTTTACTTTGTGATTTTACAGTTTAAGTAATAGTAGTAAGACATAAAAGTGAAAAATCTGGCTGTGCTTATTATGAGGCATTATCTTGATGTTGATTCCCCCAAACTGTCATGGCTGACATACAATTGTTTGAGACTGTGACCCCACTGAGTTTTCACAAGGGATGATGTTTTTTCCACCACTGTGGGGTTGAGAGACAAATTTCTCAGTTTGTAATGGGTGTTTGAGTTTCCACAAGCTAGGAGGAGGGTGCACCTTATTGAGTGCACACTACATACTACCCATGTAATGTGTAGTATGTTGTGTGTATACTACATACTACCCACGTATGTTAGATGAAGTCTCCAGTCAATGCCCTTGAATTCAGTGGCCTGAAGATTGGTTGGTTCAATCAAATCTATAGCAGCCAAGGTTCTTCTTTTTTTTCCTACAACATACAAAGCAGAGAAGAGGACAAACACAATCTCTAACTCAAGATTCCCACATTTGGGGAAATAACAGGAGTCAGCACATTCGTTCACTATTCTGCGGCTGCTTTGCTGTTTGTTTCATCCGAGACAGAGACAGACACCTTGCTGAGTGATGGGATGTGTCTGGGAATATTTCTTACACAGAGGAAAGGACAATTTTCGGAGAGAAGAACAAGCAATTCATTCAGTCCCATCAAAAAGGCCACTCCCACATGTTGCTGCCATGGGGAACATGGGAAATTCAGATGACTCAACATTCAGCTTGACAGCCTACACTGGACCCGGCTGCACAGCAACACTGCCACTTTCTGGACAAACTGCCAAAGTGATCACATTCACATAAATGCGCTGGCTTGGAAGTTGCTATAGTCAATTCAATAGCAGCCAAGGGCTGTTTTGTTTTTTCTTCAAATATAAAAGTCAGGGGAGAGCACAAACGTTATCCCCCACTACCAGAAGCCAGTGTTCACCTCATGTTACTCGAGGACTCCACAATACAAATTTATTAACAATATCCAGGACATTCAAAGCACAACTTTATTCAGTGATTGGTGAAACTGAAGCAGATTCCATATTTTATGGTTTTCCCTCTGATGTCCTCAGCTTCAACTGTGGTTTACAATTTTCTGGTGGACTACGAAGGCATTTCCCCATCTTTATTCAAGAACGTGGTCTTTTAGTTTGAGAATGTGATTGATTTCAAATGCAGCTCTTTAATGCTTGTCACAGTAACCTTCCATCGGTGTGCTAGATAGGAAAACAGCACTTTGATGGTTCAGGACCAAGTGAAGCGGGTAGCTGGCCAACGTCAAGGACCTCCAGTTTTGGTGGTACAGAAGCATACTGAATTCACTTGAACTGGCTCTGATGTGAACTGGTGTGAGGAACCCAAGTTAGGAGCACAAGTAACATCATGTAAATTCAGTTGCCATTAAAGCAAAGAAAGAGTCAAAGGAGGGTGAACCTTTTACTAGCAGAGTGATGCTAAGGAGTTGGGACCTGTTATTTTAAAGGCAACCATTAACTGCACTTTAGAAATCCTTAAGGAGGAGTCCTCCTGCCAGCATGAGCCCTGGAGGGTTTGTTAGGGCTCGAATCATAAGTCACAATAAATCTGTTTGGCTCATAACTTGGCGAGGAGCCTGCAGCCCCAACAGCAGCTCCCAGGCTGGATGGGAACTGGTTTCCAGTGCCAGCCTGATAAGGGGCTGCTTGAGGTTGCAGGGGAGGACGTGAGCATTCAGACAGAGGTTCTGATCTGGGATCAGGTCTACCACTGGAGCCCCATGTAGCTGTGTATGGATATCTTTAGTCTGGACAGAGATTTCAGAGTCAAGTTGTGACCAAGTTCAGAAAACCTTCTGGAGACAATACATGCTTATAACTCAAGTTCCTAGTTCTTTTTCAGAGTTAGTGTAAGACTCTTAAATTGGGTAAAGCAGTGTTACTAACACCACCTGTTGATTTTGTTAATTTATCCTAAACATTTTCAAGGGTCACTTAACTTGCACAACGAAAACTGTAACCTGACTCACCATGAGTCTACAGTTATCTTTGCAGACCAACAGCAAATGAATAGAAAGTGTTCTCGCATTTGGTACAGGAAAATCTTCAAAGGGTCATATGACATGGGTTTCAGTTTTCATCTTCTAAAGGCTTCAGACCTCTCACAGCTACCATTGAAATGAATTTAAAAAGAATATATTTGGTTTGTTCCTTCAATTGTAGATAGTTAGACTTGAACATTAAGTGTCACAGCTTCACCAGATAAAGAAACTCACCTCCTTTTGCTGCAGGAAAACAAGCACCACTGCTCAATAACAGACAGATCCAAGAAACCCTGTAAGATAAATTCATACTAACACAATTATTTCCATGAATGCTTAAATTAGTCAGAACTTGACCACAAACTCACCTTAAAGCAAGTCCAAGTGCTATTTTTGACTCAAAGAGCAGCAGTTTCAACCTGAACAGCCCAGTGGAAGCTGTAGACAGAAGCTTTGTGCTGCTCTTATATTGGTGCTCCACAGGCTCTATGCACTAATTAAACTCATTAAAATCAGTCCCTGCAGAAGCAAAGCCCCTCTCCAGTGGTGGAAAATGGGATCGTCATATTTTATAAAATTATCTAAAAAGTGGCTTTTGACTATAAAGTGAGATAAATGTAGTAAAAAGTACAATATTTAACACTATATGTAGTATGCAGTAAGAAATATGGTGTGCAAAAATATTTTAAACAGTGTATAACTAAACTGTACATGTGCAATTATTGCAAGTTTGTGCAAAGCAGGTCAAAGTTAAGTTAAGTTAGTTGTGAAGGTGGGAGGTACTGGGAGCTGTGGTTGAGGAGGTAGAGGTACTGGGTGTTGTGGTTGGGGAGGTGGAGGTACTGGGAGCTGTGGTTGAGGAGGTGGGAGGTACTGGGAGCTGTGGTTGAGGAGGTGGAGGTACTGGGAGCTGTGGTTGAGGAGGTGGGAGGTACTGGGTGTTGGGCTTGAGGAGGTGGCGGTACTGGGAGCTGTGGTTGAGGAGGTGGAGGTACTGGGAGCTGTGGTTGAGGAGGTGGGAGGTACTGGGTGTTGGGCTTGAGGGTGGAGGTACTGGGAGCTGGGTGAGGAGGTGGAGGTACTGGGAGCTGTGGTTGAGGAGGTGGGAGGTACTGGGTGTTGGGCTTGAGGAGGTGGAGGTACTGGGAGCTGTGGTTGAGGAGGTGGAGGTACTAGGAGTACAGAGTGGTTAGTGCATTAACTGGGTGGTTTCAGAGAGTTACAAGGGTCTGTAAATGGAATGAAAACAATTGGCTACAGCAATTTACTTTTGAATACTTCAGTACAAAGGATGTATTGAATAATTGAAGTGATATATGTGTAAACATACAAATCATAAGTCAAAACAGTGCTAAATTTGGAACAATTATAAAAAGGGTGATAAAATGAAGAGCCTTTTGGGAGCCGAAAGAGCTGGCTCTTCTTGGTGAGCTGAGCCAAATGATCTGGCTCACTAAAAAGAACCAGAATTCCCATCACTACTGGGTGCTGTGGTGTTGTGGAGTCTGATGGCTGATGGTACACATGAGCCTCCACTACAGACTGGTAGAACATCCATAGTAGCCGAGTGTACACATTGAAGGACCTGAGCCTCAGTGTGGTCCGTCTAGTCCAGTTTATTGTTCAGCTGCACCTCTGCACAGTAATCTGCAATCACAAATATTTGTCCACTTGGGGGCAGCAGAGACAATTTGTGTCTGAATTTAACTTTCAATTGTGAAGTACTTTGGGATGTCAGCACTTTCTACTTCTACTCTTTATGTTTTACTATTAAATATTGTACTTTTGATTACATTTATCTCACTTTATAGTCACAAGCCACTTTTTAGATTATAATTTGATAAAATATGACGATCCCATTTTCCACCACTGGAGACGGGCTTTGCCTCTGCAGGGTCTGATTGGGCTCCAGGTGTCATTAATGAGTTTAATTAGTGCAGAGAGCCTGTGGAGCACCAATATAGGAGCAGCACAAAGCTTCTTTCTACAACTTCCACAACTTCCACTGGGCTGCTGAGGCTGAAACTACTGCTCTTTTGAGTCAACCATGGCACTTGGACTTGCTTTAAGGTGAGTTTGTTTTCTGCTGAAGTTGTGACTAATTTAAGCTTTCAGGGGAATTGATTTCTCTTCTCTTCTCTTACAGGGTTTCCTGGATCTGTCTGTTATTGAGCAGTGGTGCTTGTTTTCCTGCAACAAAAGGAGGTGAGTTTCCTTATCTGGTGAAGCTGTGACCTTTCTTTATGTTAAAGGTGGTACTGCTGGGTCTCTGTAAATGTTATCAGGAGTTTGGTCTAGACCTACTCTACTTGAAAAGTGTCCTGAGATAACTTATGTTATGAATTGGTGCTATAAAATTGAATTTAAAAGAATGTATATAATATTAATTCAGTTCAATGGTAGCTGTGAAAGGTCTGAAACCTTTGGAAGATGCAAACTGAAACCCGACACATCATATGACCCTTGGAAGATTTTTCTCTACTAAATGCAAGAACACTATATTTGCTGTTGGTCTCCAAAGATAACTGTAGGCTCATAGTGAGTCAGGTTAGTTTTCATTGTAGTTAAGTGCCCCTTGAATGTTGAGGATAAAACAAAATCAACAAGTGGTGTTTGTTAGTAACACTGCTTTACCAAATTTAAGAGTCTTGCACTAACTCCTTTTTAAAAAGAACTAGGAACTTGAGGTTTACGCATGTATTGTCTCAGAAGGTTTCCTGAACTCGGTCCTAACTTAACTCTGAAATCTCTGTCCAGACTACAGATATCCGTACACACCTACATGGGGATCCAGTGGTAGACCTGATCCCAGATCCAAACCTCTGTCGGAACGCTCACGTCTTCCCCTGCAACCGCAAGCAGCCCCTTATCAGGCTGGCACCGGAAACCAGTTCCCATCCAGCCTGGGAGCTGCTGTTGGGGCTGCAGGTTCCTCACAAAGTTATGAGCCAAACAGATTTATTGTGACCTATGATTCCAGCTCTAACAAACCCTCCAGGGCTCCTAGCTTTTCTGTGCAGCACCGGCCTGCAGCTGGCCCCGGTGGAAACACTAATGTGGCGGCATCCAGCCCTGTCTATAGTGCTTCATTTGCATACCCTGCGGAAACTGCTGGGACCATGGCTGCATCCTCCAGCTTGGGTGCTGGACCTGGTCCTTACGCTGCCGCTCCTGCAACCTACCCCTCTTACAGACCTGATCCATACGCCTACGTAAACCCTGCTGTTCCAGGTGTTGCTGGCGGAGCCGACTCGTCATTCTACGACCCGAGCAAATGGATGCCGTCCAGTGGTTTTCCAGACTTCAGCGTCTGGGAAACGGATAACCAGGAGATGCCGCAGAGCGTGAGTGATCCGTTTGATGTGCCGCCTCCACCCATCATCCAGTCCTGGAATGGCTACCAGCGAGCAAGAGAAGACCTTTCCCACACCAAGTACTCCCTAGACTACTATGACCCACCAGCCTTTCCCTTGGAGGCTGCCAAAGCACCGAGCAAGAATCCACCAGTGAAGGACGGAAGGAAGGTCTAATGAGGTAAGAAGGCAAACTGAAGTCTAAACTGCATAATAACTGGCTTCTGGACTGACCCCCACCCCGATGAACTGCAGAGCATCAGCCCTCTTGAAACCCTGAACCTTGTGGATGATTTCAGTCTAATAAATGTCTATAAAGTGTCTTTGGTCATTGTTTTTATTTAACTCTTAAGGGGTGCAGTTAATGGTTGCCTTTTTTAAAGAGGTCCCAACTCTAAAAACACTTGGCTTTTGTTGCTTCAGTTCTGAAAACTTACCTAACCATAGCCTCAAAAAAAAGGCTCTGCTAGTAGGGTGTCTGCCCTCAATTTGAACATATTGCTTAACTTAATTGGCAATTGATAATTACTAGTGTTAAAGTTAGGCTGATCCTGCTGGCTGGAAGCTGGATACAGGATGTGTGTTAGGCTAACACAGAGCCAGACTTGGTGAACTGAATACACTTCGGTCCCACAATCCAAAAACCATAGGTCCCCAATGTTCAGCAATCACTACACTCTCTGAAAGTGACGTTTTCCTGTCTAACACACCAATGGGATGCTGCTGTGCTCTAAGGCTATTATGCAGTCTATAGTTAAGGTAGCAAAAACTACAGGTGCTGTAAATCCCTTTTTTATTCAAAAATTAATGTAAAGCAAGAGAAGTACACATAATGAAGCAATGGAGGGCAGTAGTGTATGAACTCCTAGTAACTGCCCATACTAGACGCTTCAAGAACATGCCTGCAATGAGGCTGGCTTCCTGTTTGGGGGATTTGCACAGGGTCATTCCAAAAATTCAAGACCAGAAAATCTGCAAGTTGCAAAATGTCTGCACAAACACAGTAAATCTGAGCACAAGCAGGGGCTGTTTGAGTGTGAGGGCAGGGGTGTTCTCAAACTGAAAGACCACTCTAAAGATAGGAACTACCCTTGTGGTTCATAAGGAAACTCTGTAAATCAGAGTTGAAGCTCAACATTGGAGTGAAAATATAAAATCTGATACAGTTTGACTGAATAGAGGTAGAAAGTTTTTACAGTAATCACTGAGGCCACTGTGTTTCAGCACTGTCTTCACAACTCATAATTATAACCACAGGCAGCAGCAGATTTTATTGATCTGGGGCCATATTACAAAATGTCCTAACTTCCAGATCTTAACTGTTTGGTAACCATGGTGATTAGAGTCAAAAGCCATTGCAGAAGAACACTTCCTAATGTTTCTATCCTAACTTACAATAAAAGCATCCAAACTTCCCAAAATATTAAACTCTCCTAACTTTTAGATGACCTCAGGTTTCCCACACGTCCTGGAAGACCCTGAAATTTAGACTATTTTTCCAGTCATCTGCTGCTGCTGCCTGTGGTAATAATTATTAATCACTAGGAGTTGTGAAGACTTTGTGCTCAAACAGACACAGGGAAATTAACTCCCACAGATCTTCAGTAGGGACTTTCTCTTGGTGTCTCTCACCGTTTGAAGCTTTTGTTCCACTCGTCGAAGCGTGGCTGCAGCCGCATCAGCAGCCCCGGTGGAGGGTCGAGGGTCCAAGGTCAGGGAGCAAATCAGACAACAAACACAACGGGCCTTAAGAGCTGTTCCTAACTCCACTTTCATCTCCAGGAGAAGAAGGCCGGGATTGTATTGCAGCCTGTTTTCATTCGCTCTCTGAAGTCATTCAGCTCAGTGCGACTGCCATCACACAGAAACGGCCGATCAATAGAGACTGAAGATGAACACAGTATTTATCCTCAAGCTGCATTCATTTCACCTCACTAATGATGGGAGATAAATCAAGTGTAAATCCATAATGGTACGTTTGATTAGTATATATAAAACCAGACTTACGTGTTTTACACTGATTTTAAAGTGGACATGAAACAGTATTTTTTTAAAATATTTTTGGGATAAATGGACATAAAATGAATACACATTAAGTTATGATAGATTTATGTTGTGTACTAATGTATGTCTTTGCACTGGCTTGCTGCCATATTGCCATTGTGTCACCGACTCCCCTGTAAAAAAGAAATCATATTCCAGCAGCTGGGGAGGCAAAAACAAATTAGAACAAAATAACTAAAGTTATTTTTCTAATTACTTTTTATACATGTAAAAACAATGACACCTTTAAATACAGGTGAACACTGCTATAATACAAATAACCAGGCTTAAATTGAGAGAAGAGTGCTGTTATTTGATTTATTGTAATCTGAATAGTTTTAGAAGTGTAGTCATCTGTGAAATTAGTATGCTTATTTCTTTGTGGAAACTTTCATAATTAATGTCAATTAACAAATCCATGTAAAATTTGAGAAAATACTTGTCATTGCAAAAGTTGATTGGCACATTTTATGAAAAGGGAAGTTCTTTGAATAGGTAGTCATTTAGATTTTACATTAGGTATTCAAATTCACAGGAAATGGTATTTAACAAAGAATTAAATTTATTGGCCAATGAAACTGACACCAGAGCAGAATGTTTGAGGGCCAATGCGTTAGACATCTATGACTTCACTGATTACTGAACAAAGACCTACTTTATAGCTTTAGTCATTATGGAAAACTTCTGGTTCTCCCTTATGTCCTCTAACTGCTCAGGGTCAACTGGCAACAGAACTGGGCTCAAACAGCCTCTGAGATAGGGAACAATGTTAGGTCATTTAGAGTTTCCTGATGAAAGATTGAAAAGTAGGCAACTGTGTTTTCTCAGCTGCTGTGCAGCTAACCTGCCCCTCTTTTAGTTGCCAACAGCAACTTCCCAGATGGCCCTTTAACAAATCTGGTAGTAATTTCCTTCAAGCTAAGTTTAGTACAAGTTTAAGTCAATGGCCATTAACATGAATATATTCAAAATTGAGGGAAACCTTAACTAGCAGAGCAATGCTAGTGATTTTAAAGACAACTTCACCCCTTATTTTAAGGGAATCATTGACTACACTTGAGAAATCTTTGAGTTAGAAGACATTGACAGGAAAATACGTGTTATAGTTTTATTAAATGACTGAAAGCATCCACAAGGGTCAAGGTTTCATCAGTTCACCTGCAGGGGAAAAAAAAAAGTCAGTCCAGAAGCCTGTTAAGTAGTTTAGACTTCAGTTTACTTTATAACCTCATTAGACCTTTCTTCTCTCACTGGTCTTGCTCGGTGCTTTGGCAGCCTCCCAGGGAAAGGCTGGTGGGTCATAGTAGTCTAGGGAGTACTTTGTGTGGGAAAGGTCTTCTCTTGCTCGCTGGTAGCCATTCCAGGACTGGATGATGATGGCTGGAGGCGGCACATCAGACTGATCCTTCCCGCTCTGCGCCATCTCCTGGTTATCCGTTTCCCAGACGCTGAAGTCTGGAAAACCACGGGATGGCATCCAGTTGCTTGGGTTGTAGAATGAGGAGTCTGCTCCTCCAGGAACACCTGCAACAGCCGGGTTTCCGTAAGGCACAGGTCTGTAACCTAAGCCGCCGGCTGCAGGAGCAGCGGCATAAGGAAGAGATCCACTAAGCCCACTGGTGGCAGCTGCATTAGGATTTGTCTGACCTGAAACCAGAGACAGAAAAAAAATTATTTGTCAAAGACAGCTTTAAGAGTCAAGTCAAAGTCAACTTGAACAAGTAAAATAAAGTGGGGAGTAGCAGATTGTCATGTTGTCTGTAGACCAATACACCTTTATGTTGGTGGCTTACTGATCTAGAACAGAGAACCACTTCAGTGAGGGGCTGTGGGATACCTTACGGCCAGCTACGAATTTCTAGGGCTGCCCTAGAATCGTCAACTTTTAATTGCCAAGAAAAGTCTTGGTTGATACTCTGAATTAGTTGGATAGTCACAGAACAGAAACTGTACTAGCTGCTATTAGCTACGGTGCGGAAGTGCAAAACAAATTTACAAACTCAAACAAATTACAAACTCGAAACAAGTTTACAAAGTCAAAATGACGGAAGGGAATGTACTAAATGCCGGATCGACCGAAGTGATTAGGAGCGGTTTGTTGGGAAAGAGTGTGAGGTTTATAGGAGTTTCAAGATGTTTGCCCGTTTGTGGAAACCATTTGGGGCAGGTATTAAGGTTTTGTGATTCGTGTGACGGTCTCTGGAGTTTTTAAAGGCTGCGGGCAGACGGAAGGACCAGACATGCTGCAACATCTGAAACTCCATATAAACCGCACAACTCTTTCCACAACAAACCGCTCACCAATCACTCCGGGTCAGATCCGGCGTTTAGTACATTCCCTTCCGTACGATTTTGACTTGAAATTTGTTTCAGAGTTTGTTAATTTGTTTCAGAGTTTGTTAATTTGTTTCAGAGTTTGTTAATTTGTTTCAGAGTTTGTAAATTTGTTTCAGAGTTTGTAAATTTGTTTCAGAGTTTGTAAATTTGTTTTGCACTACCAGCCACCGTGATTAGCTAATAAGCAGTCCCATTAGCCATCTACCTGGAAGTTTGAGTTATTCAGGGTTTCAAATGAGACCTTTTGTGAGGTTATACTTTGAAATAAAATTTAGTGTTCAGTTGTTCTGACACATTCAGAGGCATTACAGCTTTCTGTTAGAATTTAAGAGGCTGCTGTTCAAAGGTTTAATGTCCAATATAAGTGTGCAACAACTAGTCAACAAGGGAAATCTTTAGTTGAACATGCCTTAACTATGCTTGTTGAGGTAATGTTAGTGGATCAAAAACTAGTAGCCTAGCCAGCTGGCAAGAGTAGCTAACAGAGACTTATATAGTTACATGGCTCAACAAGTCTGAACCAGAAACAGCATTAACAAGGTGAGCTAAAAACAGTGAGACTTACCGCCTTTAACCGCAGGGTAACAAGCACCACTGTTGAAGAGCAGGAAACAAATCCCAGAAACCCTGTAAACATTTTATGACATTCAGGTTTTTCTCCATGAAAAAGAAAAAGTTAAGACATTAAGTTGAACACTTGAGCATCAAACTCACCTCAGAACCAGTCCAAGCATCATTTTGAAACTCCAAACACTAAAGCAGCACAAACAGTTAAACTCCAGCAGGTTGAACTCAGTACTGTGTCTGTCCTGAAGCTGGTCTGCTCTTATATTGCTCTGCTCCAATTCAACTGATCAACAACACCTGGTGTCCAATCACTCACTCACATCAGGTGTCGGTGCTGCAGGTGAACAAGTGAAAGTGTTCAAGAGAGCATGTTTGCTCCCAAGAATGTTTAACATCCAGGTAAAATTAAAAATGTATTTTAACCCCCCATTGTTTCCCTATTCAACAATTTATGCAAAAACATTTACAGAAAATCTTTTTATTAATTTTCTCTTCCCATCTGTCTCTTATTTCCGGACTCATTAGTGAACATCAGGAAAGTCTCTTCTGTTTTGACCCCTCAGGCCTCGGCTCCGTGGCTCAGTGCTTTGCTACGGATGAATCTCGGAGGATTTAAGTTTTAATTGGTTTTACCATAAACTTTCTGAGGCGTTTGATAATGAAAATGTGTTTGACAATTACTGGAGATCTGATAGTGTAAGTCTGTCTGCAGGTTTAAAGAGGACTAAATCACTGTGGTCCTCTGAAATCAACTGTAACCTGCTGGGAAAATAAAAAGTTAATGTAAAATTAAAACTAAAAACAGTATTTTAATTACAGAAAATTACTGTATTTTTATGAGTCTGTTATTTTCTGATATTTTACTGTATTTCTTTGGCGCTCCAGCTGGTGGAATATTACAGATAAAGTATATCGCCCCCTGGTGGCTGACTGCAGTATAGCTCATAAAGCCTCAATGTTACCAGACGGGACAAACTAAAAAAATCAAATACATTTTTACCAAAGATGGTTTCTGTCATTTTAAGTTGTTCTTATCACACTGTTTGTGTCAGTGTTCATGCTTATCATCAGTTTGGTTTTAATTAGTTATTTAAAGATATAAAAATGGAGTGATGATGGCAGATTACAGCTTTAATGTCATTGAAGATTTCAATATGTCACAGCTTAACACAGTTCTTCCTCTGTATCTGAAATCCAACAAGACTGTTTTAATGTCAGACTTAATGCTTTTGCCAGAATTATCTATACCAAGGGACCCCAAATAGTATTAGCTTACAGTCGGCACCCCCTTTCCCAAGATGTCTTTAAAGACACACTGACAGCAACGTGAACTCAGAAATTATGAAACCAAAGTTTTCTGTTAGAAATGTTCAGTCTCAGTCATATGTTGGACAACTAGCATAAATAGCATTAATAATATATGTTTCAGCAGCTGCTTGGCCTGATCTGGACAATATAGGAGTGGTTCTGGGGGTTATTGAGGATGCTGAATCTATTTCTGACATTTTCAAAATACAAAATGGTCGTTTGAAGTGGTCATATTTCAACTGTGGGCTGAAACTGTAGCCATCAAACCTGAAATACAGGGTTCAACAGATGAAGGATTGAATATTGTAGTATGTATCTTTGTTCCTTTTTTGCATGTTGCAAATGGAGCTGGTGTGATGCAAGAAAAATATCTGACAATAAAGTATCATTATAAGCCACCAATGTTTATTTTAGAGGTTCGTAGGTAGACTTAAGTTTAATATTTCACATTTGTTTACTAGATGCAAAAGTTTCGTTCCCTCCTCACATCCTGCCTCCACGTCTTTGACTGACAACATCTATTTATTATACATCATGATTGAATGTTTTTCCTGTTAATGACCATTTTCAACACATACAGTGTGAGTTTGCTTCCAAAATGCCACAACCAATGAACTCTTAAACAGCACCATTATTATCTATCAGTTCATAGAGTCGGTGAGATGTTTACTCTCCGTCTCACATTCAGCTGCTGTTTTCCTCCCAGTCAGACAGCACCGCAGTACCATGCATCAGGGCAGGAAACGTCCCCATTAGTGCCCATTAACTTCACATTACAGACGACAGCAGAACAGTCAGAGCACATTTACATACACAACATTCACAATTTGTTGTCCCTCTGAACGTTTTTACAGTCCGACTCAAGAAACCCACCGAGGTCTGAGTTACTGTATGTATGTGAGCTTTAACGTATCACTCAGACGTCATTAGAACTGTGAACCACGTGAGCTTCGTCACTAATGTAATGTAATGTGAAACAGTCACAGTTTGGTTATGTTCAGGCACAAAAACAACTTTGTTACGATTAGGAATAAAGTTACGTAACTTAATTACATGAATAAATGTAACTTAGAAGAAATTGTTTAAGTTACGAACTGCAGGGTTAAAGTCCTGTGTTTGATTGAGCCATCCATCCACCTCCTTATACTCCATCACCTGACTGTGATGGTGGGGCGCGTCCAGAAATGACACCAGATACCTAAAACATCATATTTTGAAGTGGAAGGGCCATCGACTGAGCTGCAGTATCTGGTGACTTGGGAGTGGTTGGACCGGAGCCACACTGGGTCGGCCTGGACGTTTGTGCATTTGTACTCATTCAAAAGAGGCTGAAGCTGTCGATAAACATGTTTTTTTTCCTCATATTGTGTCAATGGCTGATCACCACCGTACAGCCCAATCAGACTTTTCATTCAGAAAACACTGCCTCAAATACCCAGAAAGAGATATTTAATTTTACATTATAAACTCTAATAAACTGACATGCTTGTACAAAAAATAAGTATACACAACATCTTCATAAATTAATTGAATACTTCACCTCGTTAGGATGTTGCCAGGCAACACGTAGAGCTGCTTTTTAGAAATGTTAGTGAGGAGAGACTCTTCAGATGGGATGAGTCATTTTCAGAAACATCAGTGTGTCTCCTGCTGAACAGCAACATTAGTGTTCATTTCTTATGTTGTTTGGAGCCATTAAACAACATTAACTGCAGTTCTGATCATTTTCATGTAACTTCAGTTTAAAAATCACAAGTTGCTGAGTGGATGAAGACATTTCGGCCATCTTTGACTTTATACATTACTTTAAAAGCACATTTGGTGAACTTGGTTGTTTTGTTTTTGAAAACGGGCCTTTTTTTAACCCTTCCTAAGTCCCGCCCCTTTTTGCTCTGTGCTCCTATTGAAGTAGATTAACTAATTAACTGGTTAGCTAGCATTTTGCTAACATTAGTAGGATGTGTCTATGTATGTGTCGCTTTTATCTTTTAACCTTTTGAAAATGTGGATATCTTTTCAACTTGGATTAGCCTAGCACATAGCATAGTACAGGAAAGGAGAACAAGGATTCACATTTTAAGTTAGCTGTGTTTGGAGCACGGAGCAAAAAGTGGGCGGGGCTTAGGAAGGAAAAGTACTGAGGCATCCAACTGGCAGTCGAGCGTGATCAGAAGCTTTGATGATGGCGTCATTCGTCTAACGGGGACACCGATGTGATGAAACTGACACATCCTGTCAGAAAGGGCTGTACCCTGAATCACTGGACGATACTGTTAGTGACAAAAAGAACAAAATCAACAGTCACATCACATCATGACACCAGCTGTGGTTAATAAAGTGCATAAAACAAACAAGGAATCTGGTAAAAATGTTTTATACATTGTATAAATAAAGGTTATTTTGTGCATGCAGTTATTAACGCTCAACTGATCAGATGAGCGCTCTTCATCTTCTTTAGTTATTTGTCTCCACTTCCTTCGTCGTCCTCATCCGTCTGCAAACTCGTCAGGTTTCATGATCTGGTACGTGATCAGATATTCTGGATAGGCCTGTGGGCAGCAGAGAGGCATTCACTGACACTCTGGAACAACAGACACTCAAGGCCACAACCAGTTACCATAACTCTGCTGACTTGGTTCGGACTTTAGACGCTGTAGAAGCACCGGACTGCAATCTTTACCTTGATCCCTCACTGACAGCTCCCCCAAAGACACACACACATACCGGGGAGTTAGCCTCTCTGAGCTCAGCTACAACACAGGTATCACAAAGAAAGGTTTACAAACGATAGTGAATGTGCTTCTAGTGACAGTAAAAGCTCCAGTAATTACACTTTAATAATAAAAAACAATAAATACATTTAAAAACAACATATTGAGTACAAAAAGGGATTAAACATATGTCCCAGTCGGTTTAACTATTGCTTTCAGTCCTGTGATTTTGTATCAGAGCTAATCAAACTGTGACTCACTGTCACTCATTGTCTCACATTATCTTACAGAGTCACTTTAAGGGTTTGAAACAGCATCAGATTGAAAATGTGATAATATGAGAAGGTTCAGGGATGAACAGCTCTGCTATAATGGTCCCAGTTCCTCTTCATCTCCTCGGTCCCGCTGCCATCAGCCTTACAGCCGACCACCACATGTAATTTCACACACTAATAGCACCGCTGATTGCTCGAGTGGACATCTATTCATGCTCGATTTCTGAAGTGCCACTTCTGAACAGCTATTGGTTTTGGCAGAAGACATTATGTGTCCAATCGTCTGTGCTCCCCACTTATACAGTGACTATCTGCTGTGCTCTCTTTTATGTAGGAGACCACTCTGCCCTTCAAAGCTAACCTGACTGCGCTACAGGAACCAAAGGTCGGGTCGCAGAGTGCCAATCAACATAAATTACACCACAATATATTTTTATTTTAGTATCAGAGTTCAGAAGATTAATAACACAAATAAATGAGAAAAACAACCGATAAATTAAAACATTTAAAACAACAAATGGCAGATAAGCACAATAGACATGTATAAAATGTATTCAACCTGCTCTCCTCTGTAGATGACGTACTCAGCCAGAGCGAGGCCGTTAACACTCGGTCTGCCGGTAACAGAGTGGTGACCCGGCGGGGAGTGAGCCATCTTCATGGCACTGAACTGCAAGAAGGATTTCCCCAGAGTCACCCTGCAGAACAACAGGTGCCTGAGAGGAACAAAAAACACTAAAAGTAAAACGGTAGCGTAGAAATAGAACAACGCAAAAAAAATACACTACATAACGTATTCATAACTCAAGATGTCGGTTTGCCGGATTGTTAGCTGGACAGGAATGCATTAGGTGTTCAGTCAGTTTGGATATTCGAGTACCTGTTGCAGACGTAGCAAGAGCGGTCTTTGTGCAGCGGGCAGCCGGTCCCTCCTCCGATCCCGTAAACGTACTGATTGCTCTTCGAAGAGTTCTCGGCGAAGTAGATCCCGGCACCGAACATCCCACCGATGTAGGCGTGGCGCTCGTCAAAACCTTTATGGATGATGGCGTTGACGAACGGAGAGCCTGGGAAGAGATAAGTGCTATACTATAAGGGCTGTTCCAGCTGCTACTACTTCATTTACTGGTGCATTCATCCATACTTCAACTGCTACATGCGACCACTACAAGCAGTACTATTACAACAATCAGTACTACTGCTACTTCTGGTAGGACTGTTCATATTCTGACCGTGGAAGAGCATGCGTTCATTGGAGTGGTTGTGGTTTTCCTCTGAAACTTCCTTCCTGCGGTGGGTGTACCGCTCCCACAGCTTCTTGTTACAGACCTTCTGGATCTGAAACACAAGAGGTCGGACAGAGGTCAGATAGAGGTCGGACAGAGGTCATATAGAGGTCAGACAGAGGTCATATAGAGGTCGGACAGAGGTCAGATAGAGGTCAGACAGAGGTCAGATAGAGGTGAGGACAGTGACCAGGACTTGACAGCAGTAACAGAGGATTACTAACTGGTTTCTTTCCGCCACTTTGATCCAAAACAAAATATGTCATCAACTACTGGATCGTTACCTTGACCAGCGAGTATCTGTTGAAGACTCCTCCAGCATGGCCGCCGTCTCTGTGCCCTCTGATCGTACTCTGCATCTGTTCAACACAAACAAGGTTTTCATTGGTTGAATCTGAAGGTCAAGTGAGAAACAACAAGAACGCATAACGACCCCTCCAAGATGATATCAACCATTTTTTAGTACTGCTTCTATTTGAACCCAACAACTAACTAGTTAATCAGCATCAGTCGTTTGTTAGATAATTAGCTAGTGTTTTGTTAACACATACTGACTGTCCGGGTCCCTCAGTTTCACATTCTTATCCTGAACACACAGGATTATTATCTTTTGCTTATTGGGGATGTTTATGTTTGCTTGATGTAGAAAATGTAGCACAAGGCACTATTACAGTTTCAATCAAAAGGGGGCTGCGGTCACTCTCATCTAACAACACATCTTTAACCCCGTACCTCCTCCTCTACTGACTGGAACTCTTTGTCATCAGCTGCGAGGTCGATCAATATCGTCCCACTATTGGCTGTATTCAGCGTTAGATAGGGGTTCAGACCTGGCACACGCACACACACACACACACCCACACACACAGAGATCAAGATTATACATCATATTGTTTCACAAATCTTTTCTTGCATTTGATGCAAACGCGAAGTGATTAATATGTAGTGTTTAAGTGTGTGCGTGTGTGTGTGTGTGTGTGTGTGTGTGTGTGTGTGTGTGTGTGTGTGTGTGGCGCGTCCTCACTCTGCGGCCCGCTGATGAGCCTCTCCACTCCTTTGATGATCTTGTGTCTGTGTCCGTAGGCGTTGATGCCGATCTCCTTCAGCTCGCGGTGACCCATCTCCACCAGCACATCCACAGTGATCTGCACACACACACACACACACACACACACACACACACACACACACACACACACACACACACACACTGTTTACAGACTGCTCTGCTGCCCCCAAGTGGCCAGAATATGAATAACGTCAGCTTTAACATCTGAACACAAACATCAGTGAATCTGAATCACCGGCAGTAGATAATTTACTCTGCTTTGACTAAAGCTCTGCAGTGTCTTTGCAACAGTTTGCAATCTGCTTTTATATGCAGTCATTTTCCTACATTTACAACCTCTTTCCTTCAGGGAGAATTCAACAAATACAGAACAGCTGATAAACTGTGCAATGAACACGAACAGTGAACACAATAACTGCAGGAATGTCGTCTAAATGAACAATTTGGAGAGTTTTTCTGATAGTTTTAGGAACAATCTTCCAGCTGTTTTTTTCTCCCTGATGATGCCATTGTTCTCAAAACCAACATTTGTTATTTATATTCATATTCTGAGTAAATGTTGCATCTTGATGAGCTCACCTGCTCTCTGTCAAAGATCTCCAGAAGATGCTCCAGTCCGAGGTTCTTCAGGAACTGACAAATACTGTGCTCAGCTCCTGGAACTACAATAACAATAAATGAGATTAGCTAGCAGTCAGAGGTGGAAGTAGCTAATTACAATTACTCATTTTACTGTAATCGAGTCGTCATTTTTTGTGTACTTTAGCACATTTTCCTGCAATAAAAGCGCCACCTAGTGGTCGATTCGCGCTATGTTTTGCACACAGCCTCAGTGGGGATTTGCCTAATAGTTGGTCAGGTTGTCAGGAAGTTGTTCTTTTACAACTTGTGCATTTTTTTAACTTATCAAAATTCTTGGCCCAGAGATTCTCTGTGCAGTTTGGAGTCATCGCATCGTAAAACAAGTAAGGTTTTATTTAAGGCAATTTGTTGAAGTTGGCAAGACCTGTAATACGATATTCAGCTGAATTCAGGGAACACGTGGATATAAGAATGTACGAGATTGGCTTCAAAAACATGTTAGTCAAAGGCATTTTGACCCATTTCACAACTTTACCATAATGTGATGTTTAAAAGTGTGTTTACATTGATTATAGCGCCACCTGCTTATGGTTTGTGTAGGGGTCTGTATCTGCCTGTGTCTAGAAATCACATATCTAATTAATTTCTAACTTTCTCACCTTCCTCTTTCTTCTTGACCACCGACAGCAGCGCCGACATCTCAGGAAACGCAGAGGACGATGAAGATGGCAGTGGTGGTGACAAATTTGAAGCACTGGACGCAGCGTTGCTGTTACTGTTGGTCGTAGCTGCTGTTGTGGCATCAAGACTAGAGGAGGAGGAGGGAGAGGAGGAGGAGAGGAGTGGTGGGACCACGGCGACAGGTGGAGAAACAGAAGTTGGCGCTGCCACGCTGATGACCTGAGGTTTGTAACAGCCGGGGAGAGTGGAGGGAGGCATGGCTGCTGTTAGCAAAGCCCGAACATCATCAGCCTGCAGGAGGAGGAAGAGGAGAAGGTGAAAAAGAGAAAGGAAAGACAGCACAATAAGTTTTAATTCCGGACTGTCCTTTTAAATCAGCGTGGGACAGACCGTGACCAAGTCCAGCGGCGACTGTCCCTCCTGGTTTCGGAGGGTGGGGTCCGCTCCGTGAGCCAGAAGGAGGGCGCACAGCTGTGTCCGGCCCTTCTGAGAGGCCTCGTGCAGCGGAGTGAACGCCCACTTATCGGTGGCATTGACGCAGGCGTCAAACTTTATGAGCAGAGCGGCCACGTCTACGTGCTGGAAGATCAAAACGAGACAATGACTCCATGTATCAGTTCCATATTAAAGTTATTAAAGTCATTAACAGATACTAACTAATAGATTCTAAAAAACTGTGTTGATTTTAGTCAGAAATAAATGATGTAGCGGCGCAAAGCTAACAGTAGCTTTCTACTAGCCAAGAGCGATGTGGCTAACTGTAGCTAAGCTAAGTTGGTCCGTCTGGCTGTGTCTTGACTGCGCATTGTGGGTCTGGTGTTGGTTGCTTCGTAGTGTTGGCTGATGGGCGATTTGTAATCGGCGAGCTAGTTAGTAGCATGGAGTTAATGGTCCAAATAAAACATAGGAACATTGCAGATAGTAACGTTACTCTAAATATGATTGTGTAGCCCACAGACTGTATATGAAGATGGACACTTTTTCCACCAGCCAAACTGCGGCTGCAAGAGCGAATGTTAAAGAAAGGACGACGAAATAAGAGAGATAAAGAGAGGTCTAGAGGTGGAGGAGAGAGCAAGGGATGAATAGAGAATGATGGTTGAGTCTGTTTTAATCAACTGATCTGACTGGACGAGAGGCCTGAGGAGCACACTCACATCTGTCATTTCCTTCCTCATCACTGGTGTGTGTTTGTGTCCACTTTCGGTCTCTGCAATCAGTCGCTCATCAATCAGAGGACTGAGTTAAAGCAGTCAGTTCAAGGATTCAACCACAATGGAAACTATAATGTGTTTTTACGCAATTTTCACAGATTTTTTCAGAAACTCTAGCTAACATTTATAAATGTTACGTAGTGTCTTTAAACGACCGACACCACAACAAAAGTTATTTCAGCCTCATTTTGATCAGTTTATTGACATTAAATGACAGTAAAATCTGTGTGTGTGTGTGTGTGTGTGTGTGTGTGTGTGTTATTCCCCTCCTCACCCCGTAGGAGGCAGCGTTGTGCAGAGGAATCAGTCCTCCTTTATCTTGAGAGTTGACCTCCGCTCCGTGCTGCAGCAGGTACTCAGCCACCTCCAGGTTATTATAGCCCGCTGTGACACACACACACACACTGAAGGTTAACAAAGGCTGTGGCTCAGAGGTAGAGCTGTTCGTTCACTAATTGGAAGGTTGGTGGTTCGATCTCCGGCTTCTCTTGCTGCAAGACGAAGTGTCCTTGAGCAAGATGCTGAACCCCAAATTGCTCCCGATGTAAGAACAGACCATTTAATATTTTAATTTCTTTCTGTACTGCTTAACAACACAAGTATAACATTCAAATCATAAGTATAAGATTATGAACATTAATATAACAACTTTTCTATATATATTGTTATATTCGTGTTAGATATAGTGTCACATGGTGTCTCACTCCCTCTACCTGTGTTGTATCGCAGCCTCTCTGTGGTTTGTTTCCATAGCCGGTCTGCTCCGACTGAAACTGCTGTTTTTATCATCTACGCTGGTGAATTAAGGATTTATTTCCACCAAACCAGAGTTGGTGATTGTTGGAAACACTAACAGAGACACTTTTAATGAGTTTTATTTTTTATTAAAAACGTATTTTATTACTTTTAATAAAATAGGACATGTGCTCCTCGTCTACTACACAACACACTGCAGAGGTAAACTTCATAATTTTACATAATTACATTAATATTCTAACATCAGTATGTATTGTTAAGGTAACTGTGATGTTTAAAGTGTATTTCTGTACCTGCCAGGTGTAGCGGTGTCGAGTGTCTCCCCTGTGTGTCTCTACAGTTGACGTTATCACGTGTGCAGAGTTTCTTAACCCGGGCCAGGCAGCCTTTCTTGGCGGCGTCCAGCAGGGCGGCGTCGCCCCGCAGCAGGTCCTGGATGTCGGTATCGGCGTCCTTCACCAGATCCAGAGGGGTGTTTCCATCCCGGTTCTTCCTAGTCGGGTCTGCGCCGTGCTGGAGATGACACGAAAACAATGACACATTAACAAACCCACTTGTGTCCAGGTTTACCTCTCACTCGCCGTGTTACTGTATGCGTACCTGCAGCAGGAGTTTACAGATGTCGTATTTGCCTTTGGCAGCAGCTTCATGCAGCGGTGTGAACTTCCAGAGGTCGGCCACGTTGACCACAGCACCGTGAATTACCAACAGCTCAGCAACCTCGTAGTGACCATACGAGCAGGCGTTATGGAGAGGAACCAGACCTCTGAGGGACAGAGAGACACTTTGTTTGAGCTTGCTGGAGCTTTTAAAGTCACTAGAAGCACATTCACTGTGTGACAGTAACATGCTCTGGATACTGGGCAGAGGTCAGTAAGGTTTCTTTCACAGCAGTTTGAGCTTGAGGACATTCTCACTCAACATAAGAACGCAGATAAAAGGAATAAAGAACTCAATCTGCATGCATTATTAACCCTCACCCTTTATCCTTGGCGTGTACATCGGCTCCGTGCTGCAGCAGGAACTGGACGACGGCCAGCCGGTTGTATCCGGCAGCGAAGTGCAGCGGCGTCGACTGTCGACCCTCCACATCCGTGCAGTTCACGTTCTGCATCGTACAGAGTTTCTACACAGAAAGAGAGAAAGTAATGAACAAACTTTATCATCCTCAATTTTGCTGAGTGACGCTACAGGCGAAAGGCGTGGTTCAGTTCAGTCATTTTCATCTTTAAATGAAAAAATAAATCAGGTCCATTAAGTAATGAAGCAGAAATTAACACATTTGAGTGATTTAAAACTGTTTCTGTCCCTGTTGCTAAGCAGACCAGACCTCCAGTATGGCTGCCAGAAAAGAAAGCTACCTTAGAGTGTTTCTACCTTGACAGTTTCCACATCTCCTGTTTTTGAGGCTTCTAGCAGCTGTCGGTCGACTTCAGAGTTCCTGATCAGAACTCCTTCTGCTGAGACACACAAAATAATCACAGCTCAGTGAAACCAGGCAATATTTCTTATTATATTCAACCAATAAACAATGAACCCAAACAGTGAACACAACAACTGCAGGAAGTTTGTGTAAAATGAGACATTCAGATGAATTCTGAGCAGATTATTTCCTGTGAATATTGATCAGAACTTTTTATACAATCCTGTTTGCAAAAAACTCACCTGTTACATAAGCACTTTATCCTGTCATGTTTTTTTGCTGTGTGGATAGTTTTTATTGTTATTACTGTTCTAACTTTCCAATGTTTGTACCTTGTAACTGATTTTGAAAGTCACTTTAAAAATAAAGGTGATTATTATTATTTTCTCACTCCTTAAAATCAAGAAGGTCTTGCGACCCTCTGTGAAGCCTTACGACCCCTAGTGGAGGTCCCGACCCCCAGGTTGGGAGCCACAGTTTAATGCAATGTAGAGTGCTGAGAGAAACTCTGTCTACTGTATGTAATTGTTAATGATACTTAATGCTAAATGCATGACACTCATGGTGTTTGCATTAATTTTAACAGCAAGGACAATTTGTACATTTTACACTCTTTTTATAACTTTTTAGCAGATAAAACTGATAAACATGTTAAAACCTCTTTCCTGCCTCAAATATCAGTGTACACCCCATCCCAGAAAGTTTAAACATTTTTATGAACTAAGACCCCTTCAACCTCCGGGTTGAAATGCTTTTATCCTGATAGGAATGAAATCCCCTCCCCAGCACACCCTGCAGTATCTCCTGCACGCTCTCGTTGCCCAGCTCTGAAGGTGACAGTCCCTGCAGCGAAGTGAGCAGCGGATCGCAGCCGGCGTTCAGCAGCAGTCTGCAGGTCTGCAGGTGTCCACAGCGAGCGGCTCGGTGCAGCGGCGTCTGGCCGAGGTGATCCACTGCGTTCACCTGGAAGGAGGTTGTCTGTTGAGTTTCAGAGGTCACTCTTGAAAGATCAATCAACATCCAGGACAAACAGCCACAGGTTAAAGGTTACCTTGGCTTCATGTTTGACCAACACCTCGATAACGTCGTTGTGGCCTTTCTCTGCTGCCAGGTGGAGAGGGGTCATCATGCTGAGGGAGCACAGTGACATCACATCAGAAACACTGTGACATCACAATAAAATGGTGGTTCTTGTGGTTCTAAAAGCTTTTTGAAGCCATTTTCTTTCTCTGTTTTGTTAATCTGTGAAACCAAAATAAAAGCGTCAGACTCACTCTTTCGTCCTGTCGTTGACGTCGGCTCCCTTCCTCAGCAGAAGCTCACACACTTGTTTCCTCTTCAGGTACGGAGAGACAGACGCACAATGCTAAGGTAGAGATATTTACTACCTTAGTTTTATTACTTGACGACAGAGAGCTGTTGTAAATCTTTACATGTTTAAATTTTAATCTCTTCCAGTACGCTAATTTACTGAATGTCAGTATATAAAAAGAAACAGTAAATGAAAAGTCTCACCAGCGCAGCCTCTTGAGTCTGTAGGTGTTTGAAGGTGATGGTCTCCAGGCTCAGGTGCTTCTTGACCCACACCACCTCGGCCTCCCTGGCCGCCTGCAGCAGGCTGTGACCTCTGAACTCATCTGTCAAACATCCACGAGGACAACTGCGTCAAACACCAGGATTAGATACACCAACACCTGGTCTCACAGGTAAACATCAGGTAAACATTTATCCTGATACCAACATTGTACAGAGTAGGTTACACTGTTGTTTGTAGTCAGTTGACCCTTCATAAGCCCCGCCCCATTTTTGCTCTGTGCTCCAATAACATTTGAGCAAACCTTGGTCAACTTTCTCCTTTATTAGCAGGTAGCACAAACAGGAAAATAGGAGGTACCAAAAAGGGGCAGGGCTTAGGAATGGTCACCTGGGTGACAGGTGGAGGGAGGGGAAGAGGGAGTGCGTATTACTGCAATAAATGTCTGTTTTTCTGTTCAGAGCGCGTTGTTTTCATCCGAACACTGTATTTACGACTCGGACGTACAGGCCAGCCGTTCTTTGAGCTGCGCTGAGGGAGCGAGGTCGATGGAGCTTTTATTGTGACAGTTGAGAAAGGAGGGGTCGGCGCCGTAGCTCAGCAGGAGGGAACACACCTGCACACAAACACAGGTATAGACAATAAGTTTCTGCAACGCCAAGAATGACGAAAAGGGAGATCACCGTCATGGCTGATTGGATAAACTGACTATAATTAAGTAACTTTTAAAAACAGCTAATTAACAACAAACTACAATAAAAAAGAGGCAGTAAGATATTATTTAGTACGAATAAAACATTTTCTTCTGGACTTCCTGCAGTCAAACCCTGGGCAGAGGTCAGTTCCTGTTGCTGTCGTTATGATAATTAGTGGAGGAAATAAATCGTGAATTAGGAAGTGTTGTACCTCAGCTCGGTTCTTGGAAGCAGCTTCATGAAGAGGAGTGAACTGCCACAGGTCCATGGCGTTAACGCCGGCTCCGTGCTGAACACACACAGGAAACACAAAGTATTGACAAGCGGTGGCGTTTAATGTGCATAAGACAAATATTAATATTACACAATAAAATGTAAACAAAGAAGAGAAAACTGACCTTCAGCAGCAGCTCAGTAACCTCGTAGTGACCGTACGAACAGGCGTTATGAAGAGGAACCAGATCCCTGAGACACACAGTGAAACCAGTTATTAGACTTCTGTATTCAGTTTTTATTATTTCAATTTATTTTAAAATTTTGTTTTTGATTCAGTTTAGTTTCAGTGGGTTTGTTTGTTTCAGTTTTTATCTTTTTTTTTTGGCATTTTGGCTAAAAGCAAGTGTACTGTCTGTTCTTATCATTTTAATTTGTTCTCTATAAGGTAGCAACATAAACATATTTTTAGCATTGGGAGCTGAAACACGGGCTGCATTGACCAGGTGTTGCAGTGAACGCTGCACCTCCTCCTAACTTGTGGAAAATCACACACCTTTTACAAACTGAGAACCCTTTGGTTCACTGGTGTCCCTTGTGGAAACTCAGTGGGATCACAGTCTCAAACCATTGTATGTCAGCCATGACAGTTTGGGGGAATCAGAAGCAAGTTAATGCCTCAAAATAGATGCAGCCCTTCGTAGCCTGTGTCTCACAGCCGGGCCTTTAGTTTCTCCGCAACCAGACTGAAAAGAAGCTGTGATAATGTCGGAATGGCTTGGGGAATGGTTGTGGCCTGGAATCTTGGTAGGCAATAAGCCCAAGGGAGACCAACCATGAGTGGAGTGGCTGGGTTGTCACCAGACTTCGGCAGTTCTTAATGCACAAGTCTTTGGTTGCATTTTGTGAGTTTGTGAAGATAAAGAAATCAGAAATAATTGATGACTGATGATGTTATGCTTTTTATGTCAGATTTAGAAAATATTCTTCAGACTTGTGTGGTTTTATTCAAAGAATAATTCATGTTCTTTCGACACACCTAAGGCAATTACAATATTACAGTCCTGAAACCTGCAAAGGTACGATGTAACTAGTTACATTGTTATGGACAGTTTCCATAACCTTTACATTTACATTTTGTTATATTTACACAGATTATACACAATGTCTGGTAAATGTGGGCTAGAAAGACTTTTGCAGAAACTTTGGATTTGAGCTCTTTGGCTCTATAGAAACACACTGACCCCGTCCTGCTAATACAAAATGTCCGCCTAGTGTCGGTGTGTATTGATATCGATTGTCCCCTTGATACACAAAAACCAACACACACACACACTGTCTTACCCCTTGTCTTTGGCGTGCACATCTGCGCCGTGCTGCAGTAACAGCTGGACGGTATTGACGCGGTTGTACCCGGCTGCCAGGTGTAACGGTGTCGACTGAAACAACAACCCAACAGACGGTGGGTAACCACGGCAACCTCGATTCACTGACACAAAACTGGTCTGCGAACGAAACTGTGGCTGTACCTTTCGTCCGTCGCTGGCGTGACAGTTGACATTGAGCGGTGTCAGCAGAGCCATCAGCTTCTCCTCGTTTCCGCTCCTGATGGGACATCGGCGCCGTTTAATATCTCAGACTGCAACTAATGATTACTTTTCTACATTTAATCTGTAGTTGTGTTGTTTATAGATGGAAGTATGAATGCATTTTTGTTTAAAAAATTATTAAAATACTTAATTTTCTGTCGATGTACTCTATGGATTAATTACACTGCTGTACCTTGCACTTTCCAGAAGCTCATCTTTTCTGTATTCACCTGAAAAACAGTCAAAACAATCAACATAAATACCAAATATGTATTGATTAAGATCGTTATATTTCATGGTGAAGTTAGAAGGTAGTTTTGATGAAGGTTTTACATGATGTATCTTCACATTGCAATCGGAAATATATAAAAAAGATACATATAATAACATGATGTGTTATACAGGTAGTTTTCATGCATATTAATGCATGTAAGGATGTAAACGGCAACGATCGGCGCACTGGCCCCCAAATCAGATCATCAATGAGCGCACCTGTCAGCACTGCTTTGGCGGACGGTTCTGCCAGATCCAGAGCGGTTCGACCGTCTATGTTCCTGATGGTCGACTCGGCACCGTGCTGCAGCAACACTGCGCACACACACACACACACACACACACACACACACACACACACACACACACAGAAAACATGCATTACATACTGTTTCCTCGGTTGAGATGTCACTGGTTCCCAAGTGAATATGAGTGTGTTTGTACCTATACACACGTCAATCTTGCCCTTGATGGCCGCCTCGTGCAGTGGAGTGTAGTTCCAGTTGTCTCTGGCGTTTGCGTCCGCCCCGTGGTGAAGCAACATGCTCACCACCTACATAAAAACAACAGGTTTAAACCACTGACAGTATATATAATGGACAGAGCTATCAGGTCTGTGAAGTGTCTTAAACCTGCATTCTATGTAAAGGCCAGCAGGGGGAGCTCCATTTGCAATACAAACTGATACCATAATGAGTCGACTTCTCAGTTGATTGATGAGCTCAGTAAACAGTTTCCTGATGAGTTTATGGTCTCAGTCTCTAGTTTCAGTCTTCTTTCATACAGCATGATGTTCATTTAGTAAATGATGGTCCCATTTAGAGTAAAATAGACTAAATACACACAAAAAATATGAAAAATACAATGAAAATAAATTAAAAACACATCAAAATACACAAAAAAATGATGAAAATGAACCAAACTCAGATCAAACTGTGAAACAGTGCTGATCAGATATGGATCCAGATTCCGTTGTTGACTATTTCTCACCTCAAATCTGTTCACAAACACATTTTACTGTTTATCTGGAATACCAGATCCTGTGTGACGAGACGAGCCGCCATTGTTTTCAAACCAAGAGCAGCCAATGAGAGCAGCTCAACTCACAGTATGTCACCTGAACTGGCTCAGACTAACCACCATGTCCACGACCATAACGCCAAACTGGAGGCTTCAAAACGGTTCTCCACAAACCGATGGGAGATGATAGGTTGACAGTTGGTTTAAACATGAAGCTCTCTGGAGGTTGAAGGAAAACAAGGTTGGAGGTTGGAGGTGCTATACCTCAGCGTGGCCAAAGGAACAGGCGTTGTGGAGGGAAATCAGCCCTCCGTCGTCTCTGGCGTGGACGTTGGCTCCGTTCTGGAGGAGGAAGTCCACGACGTCTTTACGGCCGAAACCTGAAGGGACAGAGAGAGGACTGTCTAGGTTGTCTATTATTCACATGCTGTCTGAGCCCTCAGACGTCTTTGTGTCTGGTTTTGTTCCATCACAGTTAATAATTCAGTGAAGGAGAGCACTGTAGAAGCTGTAGAAGCTGACAGATATCTGGCATGCTTTAACGTTAATAGTAAGGATGAAACTAACATATGACAACCTGGCCACCGTGATCTCTATCACGATAACTTTACTCACTGATTTTAGTCAGACTAGCAATATGGGAAAAATAAATGTGATGAATTAACTGTTCAGACCACTAATAAGATAAGAATTGGGTTGGAAGAACAACAGCAGGGTTTTCTGGGGCCTCAGTGGTTACTGTACAAACACACACAACATAACTCTCAGTGAGTCCGTCCAGCTCGACGCAACAAAAAATACACGAAGAACAAAAACAAATATACAGCACAAATAAACACTATAAACACACAGAAGAAGAATTCTCATCAGATTCTCATCTGAAAATGAAACAGATTTAGTGACAGAACATCACCGGCCTGCAGCGAAGTGTAGCGGCGTGGACTTCCTCCCCGCCGTGTCCCGGCTGTTCACGTTCTCGGCCGACACCAACTTACGGACTCTCTCCAGGTCTCCGCTCCGACAGGCCTCGAACAGCTTCCTGCTGGCCTCGCCGGCCCCCAACACCACGCCGGGCTCCACCACCACCTCTGCCACCACGGGCCCCGGGGACACGGCTCCGCCCCCGAGGCCGGACACACCCGAACATCTCCGGCCGGACAACATGGACGGCGGCGAACAGCCTCGTCCCAGTTTTAGTCTGCCACCTCTGGAGAGTTTGGAGTGCGAGCAGCAGGCGGCGGAACCCCAGAACCCCGCAGAGACTGAGGCCATGCAGGAGGACGAACGCCGGTAGCCTGCAGGGAGAAAGGAATTATGGGAGTCCTGAAACAAATATTATACATAAGTCAAAGCATAGGAGGCTAAAGCTAACAAAATGTCACAAAATAAAGATTTAATATACAGATATTATAATATACAGATATTATAATATTATTATATATATTCTTATTTTCAGGTGATTATACGTTAATGAAAACATAATATTATATTACAGTAATGTTAAACACTGGAGCTTTAAAGAAAGATGGACTCAACTACAGATTAAATACATGAGTTTGTATAAATGTTGAAGCATTAAATATAAATACTGAAGGAAAGTACACTTCCACTGATTACATTATTCATAAAGAGAAATACCACAATAACATCATACAGGTTGTGTAATAACACACTAGGTAGGCTAAAATGAGTAGTATGAGATATATATTAACACAATACATGATAGGATAATTAATGGAATATTATATTGATTGATTGATTGATTGATTGATTGATAGGAGATAAATAAATCATGAATTAAGGAGGTCAAATTCAGGATATATAATAAAGAAAATATGACCATAAAGATAATAAAAAGGCCTGATGATAACAAAAGGCCCTGAGTGAACTCACCGTGGAGCCCCGCAGAGGTATGATGGGAATATTCTGGCTGTTTAGTGGCCGCCTGCATTAAACCATCCCCGGCTGGCAGGCGCTCACACACCGGTCCTCCGCCATCCTCCGCCGCCGCCGCTCGGAGCAGGTCGCCGGGGCAGGGCTGCAGGTTTATCCGGTCGCAGGGAGAGACAGAAGGAGAGGTGTGATCCAGGTAAAAGACGGATGAGGGGAGACGGAGGGAGGAGCACAGAACAGCCCCCAAAAAACCGAGTAGAAAGGAGCGCTTCATTCGTCCCCCTGGCTCCGCCCGAGCGGGGTGGAGCTAGACCTGATATATTTCTATCAGCTCGATATTTAATATAATAATAATAATAATAATAATAATAATAATAATAATAATCATCATAATCATAATAATAATAATAATAATAATGATCAAAACGTTTTGTATTTCTAACTGATGATGTCTTTACAGAAAATGTCAAATGACTTCTATTTGTGGTCCAAATAAAACCTGGTTACAGTTAACATATGATAAATATATTTATTATATATATATAAATATGATATGATATTTATAGTATAACTCATAGTATACATATTATATGAAATATGTATATACAACAAATACATATTTATTGTATAAATATTCATATATATTATTTATATACACTGTGCCATACATTTTATTTCTCTTCATCCACCTTTTTAAGGCAGCATTTTCCACATATATAATATATTTATTATAATGCTACACACTGTGTTTCCAATAGTCTTTTCATTTATCTTTATATAAAAAGGTGTATAGACTGTACATATGTACTGATCCTCCATGTCCGATACCGTCTTTACTCTACTATAAACTTAATTATTACTAACTAAACTGTTAATAATACATTTGTATGGATGCACTTTGTCTAAAGCTCTAATATGTAACACTGAACCATTAAAAAAGGTCTCTAAACACTCATTTTATAATAGATTTCTGTCTCTACTTCACTACACACACAGATATTTACACATAAACTGCGGGGTAGTTTCTTTTTTAACAGAACATCATATTTTATTTATTTTTAACTCTTCATATGTTTGTGTGTAAAAATCTTACCAATGTAGTGAAGAAGAGACAAAAGACTCTTACAGTACTGAGACACTTATTAATGATCAGAGCTGTTATACAGATTCACATGTCTAATGTAAAATAACAAAAACTGGCTTATTTAAAGAAAATTAGCTTTTTTTAATTAAAAGGTTTAAATACATTTTGCAAATCTATCTTTTTTTGCAGTTTTTTACTATTTAGATTAAACAGTTAACTTTACGTTTAATACTGTTAATACATTTATAAAATTATGTAAAATCAGTGACATTAACAGTAAAAAGTATTAGTTGTGTAATTTTAATGGATTAGTTAGTTAACTGACAGATATCCTGGAAGTTTAATAAATTCAGATTAAAATAATAAATATCACCTGTATTTATAGATCATTGTTTTACAGTGTAAATATCTTTAAACATTAAAAAGACAAAACACTACACAGGATTTGTATTTGTTGTTTGTTTTTTGGGATATTTTATTTTTTTTATTTTTTCCGCAATAAATATTCACAAACATGATTATATGTAGTAATAAAGATATCCAAACATGATTATAAAAAAATACAAACATATAATGTAGTAATAAAGATATTCAAACATGATTACATGCGTAATAAAGATATTCAAACATGATTATATGCGTAATAAAGATATTCAAACATGATTATATGTAGTAATAAAGATATTCAAACATGATTATATGTAGTAATAAAGATATTCAAACATGATTATATGTAGTAATAAAGATATTCAAACATGATTATATGTAGTAATAAAGATATTCAAACATGATTATATGTAGTAATAAAGATGATTAATTGTGTGATATGTGTTTTTAGTAATCTTAATGAATGGTAAACCTGAACACCACTCTACTCAGAGGTTTAACTGATCATAATGATAATATGGCAGAACTCAAGGATAAAGCTCAGGGAGTTGCTCACTTCTTTCAGTTTGTACAGCATTAACAATGGCTGACCTGAAGACTCAGAATCTGTCGGCTGTATAGACGGTGATCAGTTCACATCATGAGTTTCCATGTTTACAGAGGCAGAAGCACTGAGCTGTTGTCTCCCCAAAGACCGAAGGCTGGGCAGACAGGCTCAGAGAACATGGTACCGGTACTGAAGCTGTAAATGTGATCCAGTTTGTCAGATGAGACATCGTAGAAAGACAGAGTGCCAGCAGGCCAGTCCAGATACACTCCCAGTCGGGAGTAGCCAGTCGGAGGAAGATTTAAATTCACCGTATTGCTGTTATGCATTGAATAGAGAGTAGGTGGACTCCGGTTATACACTAAACACCAGGAAATGTCATTGAATCCAAGCCTGCAGTTGTTAGCTTTTCCTTTCCGAAGCATTTCTTTGTAGCACACACCAAAAATAATATACTCTGGACGGCCAGTACTCCACTCCACTTCCCAGTAACAGCGCCCAGTCAGACCCTCTCTGCACAGAACCTGAGGAAACTGATCAAATCTCTGTGGGAGGTCAGGGTACGACTGTGCTGCTCCAACTGTCACCTTCTTGTTTCCATCGGACAGAGTGAGGCTGTTGTTTGCTGTGTCTGGATCCAGAGTGAGATCACAGGCGTCTGATGGAGAGAACGAGATCAGGATTATATTTCAGACTCCATTTAAAGAATCTGTCCAGGTTCACAGATTACATCTGTTGATTATTATTAGCATATTTTAAAGGATATGATGGGTTCATATTATTTAACATTCACTCACATTCTCATATGTACATTGACCGGTGGACAGTAACTATTTACTGAAGATACTTTACTTGAGTATCTCCATTTCATACTTCTGCTCTACTACACTACTACAGATTAAGAGTTTACATAAAAAACAACATACAAGATTAGATACAGGTTAAACCAGTGGGTCCAACCAGTAGTCCTGTAACCTCTCCTCGTCTCCTCATCACAGTTCAGATGTGTCTGAATTGTTATAAATTCCACCAGAGACCTTCCCCTTCTCAAAGCATCTTACATTGTTTAATTTTAATAACTGTTCAAATGATCCAATATTTCACTAACAATCAGAATACAGAAAGTCCAAACACTAATTAAACTAAAGCTAACTGCATATAGAGTAGTAAAATGCTGCTCTAACACTGATGCTGATGTAATAATCTAATAATGTCACTAGTGCCTCCTAACAGTTGATTTAACCGTCAGTCTGTTCAGAGTCTCAGTCGACACACAAAAAACCAAACCAAAATTAAACTGCTTCAGGAGCTGCTCCTCGTCTCCGGGACCGAAGTACCAGAGGATTGTTTCAACACGGACCTTTTCTCTTGTAACACAGGAAGTCTCTTACCGCTGCACTGCTGCGTATGCTAACTGTACTAGCTGCTGTTAGCTAGTCAGCGCTGGGGAGCGGGGCCCGAATGAGCCACAGAACCAGAGCGGGGCCCGAATGAGCCACAGAACCAGAGCGGGGCCCGAATGAGCCACAGAACCAGAGCGGGGCCCGATTGTGAGTAACACAAGGTGTGGCCGATCAGGTTTCTGAAGGAGAGTAAACTGTTATTATTTATGAAACAGTGAAATTAAGTACTTACACCAGATTAAATCTCTTCTGTCTGTGACAGCCTTCACATTAGTGATGTCAGGCTTTGAGAAATCCTCATTGACCAGTATGCCGTCTTTGTAATGGTAGATTGAAGCTCCTTTGTATTTCTCATTGGCAAAGGCTGCAACCAGGAAGCGGAATCTGCTGTTTTTTGTCAAGACTTTGGCAATATCATGGAAAGCTTTGGCTTTTTCTCTCATGTTGGTTAAAACTTCATCTGAGTAGTACCACGGGACTTCATTGGTACTTACTAACAGAAGTGTATCCACATAGTTGCCCATCTCATCCAGGACGGGGTCAGCAGTCTCCAGGGAGGTGAAAACGAAGCACAGAGCATCCTCTACACCTGAAGCAAGAACCTCTCTGTCCAGCTCTGACTGATTCGGGATGATCTTTGTTCCCTGCATTATTTCTACACAGGACCTGATGACGTTGATTTCTCTCTCTTTATGATCCAGCCAGTTGCTTAGTTTCTCACGACTGAATGGTGACTTGTCTCTGTCTTCAAAGAATGTTCCTAATTTGCTCTCATTTTCTTTACCTTCACGGATGAGAGGAAGTTCCTCCGCCATGGTCTGCTGGAGGCTAGCTGCATACTGATTACACAATACTTTGAAAGTGGTTAGATGCTTGTGAATCTGTGGAAAATCCTCTCCAACACTGTCGGCCAGAGAATCGTTGCATCTCATTACTAGCTCCCTTAAATCCTCTAGAGCATTCTCCGCCTTCCTCAATACTCCAACACTGACGCTCATAAACCCAGCAGCATTGGTATCCAAACTCTTCAACGGCATCAGCCAGACCATCAGTGGAACACCATTCCCTTCCTGTTGCAGCAGCTTTGGAAGTTCTGCATAGGCATTCACTGCCTCTACAAATGTTCCAGGGTTGCTTTCAAGAATGAAGTCTCCGTAGAATTTGCAGGAGAATTTGTTGGTCAGAGCTTTTTCTTCATCAGTCAGCTTGATGTCAACTTTTCCCTCAATATCTAATGCAGGGATTTTCTTTATCACAGCTTCCATGCCGCCCTGGATGTCCTGAACGCTGCTGGCTTCTAACTTCTCACTGTCAAACACAAAGAAAGCATTTGCCCCATAAAGGATGCCTGTGACTACGTGTGTTGCAGAGCCCATCTTAATAAGATCTTTCTGTTGGGGGTCCATGGTTTGAAGGTCAATCATTGACAACTGCTTGAAGGTGGTGTTGGCGTTGTACTGAAAAGTCACTCTGCTCTGATTCTTGTATTTCTTTGTGTCATTCAGATATTCAGCAGATCCTTCAACTTTAATCAGTCCAGCCAGGAAACTGGCCTTCAGAGAAGCGTTAATATCCAGCAGAGAGGACTTGGATTCAATGGAGTCAGATGCAGAAATTTGAAATGAACTGCCGGGCTGAGAGCTTTCAACTGATTTCTCTTGTAGAGTTTTTTGATCCCACAGAGTCAAACCTATAGAAATCATGAAATATCAGTTATCTGATAAAGCAGGAAAACCATTGTGTTAATATAAAGTCACATAAATCTATATCATATTTGGATTTCTTCACCTGTAGCTGCCAGCAGTTCCTTAAACAGCTTCGATATTTATTTCTTTGACATGA